AACTGGAAAAAGTTGAATGATGACGAGAAGCAATTTAGGTTTTCATATTGGGCCTGTCCTTTAAATATCCAAATCATTCTCAAAGACATGTGATTTAAATGGACACATTCAAAGTTAAACATTCTGTGTTTAAAGATGATCTTTAGGGTAAGACTTGTGTAAAAAGTTATTGGATAGTATTTTCTTTTGACCTCCTTCTTTGCCCCATAGAATAATGAAACTTTAAAAATATTTTACTCTTAAAACTAATTTAACAATAATAATTAATTTCTCTAGCATTAACTGGAAATGAATTTTTTTTTCAACTTACAGAAATATTGTACTATTATTTCCTCTTTGAAAAACTCTCTTTTTGCCCTACACTCTTTTCTGGCTACTTCCTTTCTTATCATCCTCTGAAATACAAATGCAAGAACTGTCAATATTTATAGTCAAAACCCAGTAGTACTAGACTGGTCATTTAGCAAGGCTGAGTTCAGCTGCTCATTTAAACAAAGGGAAAGCACAGCACAAAAGGCTTTCGGATGCACAATAAACAGATATTAGAACAAAAAAAAATATTGGAAATTTTTTAAGATGATGTAGAGAAAGGCTAACAAAAGCAGAGTTGATATGAATTGCACATTGCTAAGAAGGAAAGTTAGAAGTTGTGCCTTCCTGTCGTTCCAGTGTTGAGGAGCCTGGGTGAGGGGCACTGTGCTGGAACTGCATAGTGAGATACTGTCTCAACAAACAAACCAGCAAAAAGCAACAGCAAGAGAGAGAGAGAGAGAGTGAAAGAAAAGATAATTTGTTTCTCAAATATTGTAATAAATCTTTTGTAGAAAGTAGGATGAAGGGACAATGCCAACACTAAGAATATTGTAAACACTGATTATTTCAATAAGTAGTGAATGATTTAAACTCTTTCAGTGAGAGACAGTAAGGATCTTAGCAATAACTACATATGAAATCTTAAATCTCATCTTTTGCCAGTCTTTAACGTAGATAAAATAAGCCTTTTTTTCTCTGGCTTTATTTTGTGAAAGAATGACTCTTCATTTTTAACTTTTGCTCACATATAATTTTTTTAAAAAAATATTTTGATACAAAATACCCTATAAAATATTCTCAGAAGAGTTTCTGACAAGAGAAATCAAAACTTCTTATTGATTGAATAAGCCTTGAGGGCTTGTATTATTTTTAATGAGTAATCAAATGATAGATAGATATACAACTTAAACTATATTTTATTGCTAGTATAGGTCTGCAGTTATTTCTTTATTTATTTATTATAGGTTTTTAGTTTTTTTTACTTTTTTGATACAGGGTTTTGCTTCCTAGCCCAGGCTTTCCTTGAACTTCTGGTGATCCTCCTGTGTGAGTGCTAGGATTACAGCCCTGTGTCACCAGATAATACTTTCTAAAAAAAAAAAAAAAAAAAAAAAAAAAAAAAAAAAAAAAAACCTTAAAAGTTGCAATTTGAGGATTCACAGCAATTTCATTCAGCTTCAGAGTCTGACACAGAGGCATAGTGTGTGCTCATCTGTTTACTTCATCATCCGCTCCACTGTATGCATTCTCCAGGTCCCCTTTCCACCTGTACAGGACCAAAGTGCTTATTTTTTCATGATTCTTTAAGCTGTTACTTTAAAATTTTAAATATTTAGAATCTTTTGTATTAGAGAAATGATACAATATTAAATATTTTGTGATGTTTACATTGTGCTCTGGTCTCAAGATCCACTTATTTCTCTAAAAATGATGCAAGTTTATATTTCTTAATTGTTGGCTGGTACTCCATTGTGTGTATAGACCACCTTTTCTTCCTTCTTATTGGAAGGTATATAGTCCCTTTGATGATCTAACTGGTGTTTTATGCTGCTATAAACAAGAGTATTCATGGGCCATTGCAATATGACTACTTTACACCTTTTGGAAAAAATACCCAGAAACGTATCTGTGTTAAATGAAATTTCTATTTTTAGTTTTTCAAGAATTCCCATACTAATTTCTAAAATGCTTGTAGTAATTTACATTCCAACAAATGATGTAGATTTTCTACACATCCTTTACAGAATTGGCTGTTTCTGGAGTCTTTGGTTATGGCTATTCTTTATGGAGTAAGGTAGAGTCTCAGTATTGTTTTGAATTGCATTTCCCTAATGACAAAGATACTCAGTGTTTTGTGTATTTATTGACTGTATATTTCTTCTGAGAAGTGTTTATAAATTTAGCAAATTTCTTACTTAAATTACAAATATTTTTATTAAGTGGATCTATAACAAAGCAATCAGATCGCTATATCAAAAGTAATATTTCTTATAAGGTTTAAAGATATTAACAAGTGATTAATTTTATGATAGTTATCTATTTCCAATTCATCCTCTGTTATTGAATATGTATAACTGATAAATCATCTCTTAGAATTTTACATCAAAGAAGTCACTGGAATATCGAAGAAAAAAAGAAATGGTAGCTACTAGCTCTTTGTTTATCACCCTGCAAACTACTTACAGACCTAGATTGCATGCATCAACACTGCCAAGTCCAACTTTCTTATTTAGCTTTCTTAATTACTGATTTTGATTTATCTTGGGGACTAAGATAATACTGATTTTAATATACTATTTACACTGTAGGTAAAGGTCCCATTTGTTATTCATCAAAAGGAAATAAAGACTCTCTTCTTAGCAGAGGCTAAGTTGGCCTTTAGGTTGTACATTCATAAAGCATTTAAAATTGGTTGCTAATTTGGAAATAATTACATTGGATTTACTTATCTTTCTGTTTTCAACTGATACATTCTTTAGCATTTCCTTTCATTTCTTGATCTTTCCATTTTCACATGAGGCATACGTATTAAGGATATAACACTCTGCAGCTTTGCTGGTATTTTATGGCCTCCATATTAGAGGGCTTATGCATGAGTCAGAAACAACAGGAAATGAGGCAGTGTCCTTCCCCCTGCACTTTATCAGCCAGGATTTGATAATGGGTTTTGCTAATAGTAATGATCATCTGATTTACTGGTTAAGGTAATGCCTGCTGACTCTAATAAGTAATCCTGAACATATATAAATAATTTGCTCATTGCTAAAAATTACACACATATTTTAATATTCTTTCAAAGCTTCCTATGGTAATTATATCTTCAGTGTTTATTGGCTTTTGTGGAATTAGAGGAAAATACTTTCTTTGACCCTAATCCAAGGATTTATTCATTTATACCAGCTTGAATTTGTGAATTTTTATTTAACAGTTTAAAACTAACAGAATTCACATTTATTTGGCATCCAAATTGCAAAATACAATCTGAAGTGTCTCAAAATTGTTGAGAAGTATATAATTTTTCTTACCTGATGCAATTACCAGATGAATTCCTGAATATATTTTAGTTAACAAGCAAGAAAATCTATTTGTTCTTCTCCATAGTAAGAAACATGATAGAGGCACATTCCAATGGTAGCTGCTAATGATGAGAGGAAGGGTACACTCTAACATATAAACCATCCCACTCCAGAAAACTGGAGAAAAATAAGCAAAAACAACAGAAAACAAGCAAAAAAACAAAGCAAAATTTTATCTTTGAACAAAGCAAAAATTTATCTTTAATGTCTAAAGAAGGCATCAACCAAAACAAACTTTAAAGACAGATGAAACAGTTTATATTTAAATATCTTGCATTAATTCAAATTGCTTGAGTTCCCTATCTCGCTTTCAGATGTGTGCCACAAATTTGGTAAAAGTACACAATTTATTATTGTTAGAAATAAAGCCTCATATATTCTTTACTGTATTTGCTAAACTGATCATTAAACCTATTTCATCAAATTCTATACTGTAGAAAGTGTAAAGTTCTTTGGAAGGGTAGGCATATACGAAAAATTGGGTCAAGACAATGAAACATGGTTAAAGGGATCTTGACTATACCTTTTTATCTTTGTTTTCTTGTAGAGCATATCTTGTAAAATCTATTTACATAGCAGGCTAGCTGGTTTCATTCAATGTATCTCCAAGTCTAGCAAGGTACCTGCACTGTTTCTCGCATGAACTTTTACTATCACAAAATAAATCTTTCATTTCTGAATATGCCATTTGATCCTTCAGCCATTATGTCACATCATAGATAATCTACTTTTAATTCCTCAAGGGTTTAACTTTCTTTTATCACTTTAAACATTTATAGTTTTTATGTTTCCGATACAATATTTAAAGCTTTTGTGGATTTATGCCAGCTATCTCCACGTTTGCCCTTTGTGTTTGGTGATATACATTCATATTTGACTGAAAGTCATTTATGGGAAAAAGGGATTAATCTGTCTTTAAATGACTCATCCACCTTCATGAGTCTTGGCTTAATTGAGAAATCTTCATGTTTTCCACGCCCCAGTTTATTGATAACTCAACTTCATCATATTTTTCTTCCTTTCCTTTTAGTTTTTAAATGTTTTTTCTTGGTAAAACTTGAAACATTCTTGTTATTATTCTTTGAGTGAAGAATTCAGTTTAACTGTGTGAGTGTGCAGAAGCTTTCAGAATATACATTTGACATATTGTGAATTGTTCATTCTAATAACAAGGTACAAACTCAAATTTGCAGTGAATTGTTAAATGTTGACTTATTAACAGTACAAGTATTTCTACATTATCAGTAATTTTAATTACACAATTTAATGTTATTTTTCTCATTTAAATTTTTTAAAAGAATAAATGAAAATTCTAATACTCTTTATAAAGCCTAGCTAAATTAGTACAAATTTGTAATGAGGTCCAACTGTTTATTATTTACAAAAATCAGAATATAATTTCTTGAAGGTTTATAATGAAAAAGATAATGGGTAGAGTCTTACTATTGTTTTTCTTCTTTCATGTCTATCATTTACCTGTTTCCTTGGATAAATTATTCTGGGCATCAATTTTCTCCTTAAAATGGTATTTATTTTTTTGATTTTTTTTTGGTCAAAATGATGCTTAAATGAGTCAATTTTTTTGTTTGCAATAAAAAATGGTAGCACGTATATTAGGACTTACTGGAACTTAAATGAAAATACAAGGCAAATTTTATTATGGTAATTTTATATAAATATCAGTTACTCAGAATAACACAGCAAACTTGCATTACAACGATACTCATTTCATTTCATGTGCCAAGTTATCAAGAGGTATAAGTTAGAAGCCAATTAGACATCACTATCACAACTGAAAATGTGACAAATAGAAGTTCTCATTTTCTTTCTCATATTTTTGCTCATCAGAATTTGGGAAAATTATTTTTTCTATAATATATTAACATGTGTCAGATTTTTATTTAAAAAAACAATATAACACGCAACAATAGAACATGACAATAAAGAGATATCAAATTATAACTGTGTTTGCCTAAATTTGATTTGTTAATTGCATACTTTATGTACACTTCCATAATCCGATAGCTTTGAAACTTTACTTCCTATATCTTCTTTAAAAATCTGAAATACTTGATTATGACAGGTAGTGTATAATTTCAGAAAGAAATTCTTCAGCGTTTTGCCTATATTTAATCTGTTTTAAGCATCATATTTTATTTTTGTAGTTAATTAGAACTCAATTTTCAAAATCGATCTAGTGATCAATACAATTAGTTTTCAATATTTTTATAACTTTATTCAATCACTAAAGTAATCAAAAACATTTCAGTTTTTTTCTAATGTAATTATAACGGAACCTCAATATGCATTAATACTTTTAATGAAATTTGTATTGTGTATTTTAAATATATGAAATTTTAAATTCTCCACATTTTGAGCAACTCTGATATCTATAACAAAGAAATGCTCTACCACAAACATTCTTTATTTTTTGCAGCATAGTAACTCAATTTAATGGTAGAAGCTGGGTCTGATACCCATAATTTTGTTTGAAACTATAAACAGAGCATAAAAAGGAATTTATTTAAAGCAACATTTAACCTCAAATTGTGTGTGTAGGTATTTACCTATGCATACACATAAATGTGTATACAAAGATAGAGGTTATCTGTATGTATGTTTGTGAATATTTTACACATATGTAATTGCCATGTACTTATCAAATGTATTTTTTAAAAAGTGACTTTTTATACTGATCATGTATAATGCATAACAAAATCCTGGTCTTGATATACAAAACCGTATTATTTATATTCACAAAAATACAGTGTGAAGCAGTAGTGTATCATATAATTTTGCCTGTTTATAAAAATACAAACTTTTAGCATAATTACATTAACTAATGAAATTATAGTGTAAGAATCAATGGACTTGAATGTGCATATACTGGACTTCTCAACTTTCTCTTCATACAGATATCAATGTATTTGTAAATAACTTTTGTTTAAACATCAAGCAACCAGATAACTAATATTTGAGAACAGGTTTTATTGACAATCATATGATGAATAGCGAATCACTAACAAATAGTAGACAAACACTGGACACTAATTTTAAGTTTTCTGGTATTGTTTAATTCATAAAAGGCTAGTATATATCACTGTAAGTTATTGCAATCAAAGCAATAGTATATTGCATTCAGGATGTTTTTATGTTGAATGTATTTTAATTCTTTCAAATGTATTAATTATATAGGCCACCATAATTGATGTTATTGAATTTTATTATATCCTCACTTATTTTTCTTCTATTCTCTAGCTCTGCAAAGCCTCCTGTTCTACTTATAATTCTCTTTTAGTAATGCTCTTATTCGAGTATATTTGTATTTCTGCAGTGAGTCTGGGATCATCTAAAATTATCTTCTACTCAGTTATCATTATGAGTAGGAGAGAATTGTTATTTGTAATCCTTTGTCATTATTGATCTATTAATTATTTTAAATAGTTGAATTATCTTGCGTTAGACTACAAACTTTAAAGATGTAAAGTTTTTAAAGCCTGGTTTCAAATAATTATGCCAATTGTCTCCTGCTTTTAATACTGTTTTTCTAAATTAAAATTCTAAATTGCACATATGCTGTGTCAGGGTATATTTCTTCCAAAATAAATTATCAGTGTTTACCATATAATAAATATAATAATAAATATAATCAACCTTTTAACATGTTTCATATTTCCTTACATTTTCAGTGTTTTACAGATTACAGAGTACAGTACTTTCACTAAATCATTTTACAAGCCTCAGAAATAGACCAAATAGTCCTACTCAATTCTAACCATAAATAGATAAAAGTTTAGCAAATCAGAATGACATATAAGGCTCAGTAAAAACAAGTTTGTAATGAGCCTTGGACATAGATTTTGTAACCACAGACCAGGGAAATTTTTAGCACATAGCATTGATAGTGAGAAGGTGACATTCTATAGTAATTCACAAACAATTGTCTGTGTTAATAATGAATCCACATTCACATAATAAAAATAAAATATGGGAATTATACAAGTCAGCAAATCATCTTCGGTTAGCCGTCAAAATCCTTTTCGTAATATATATTGGATTGCTAAAAAAATAAAATATTTCTCCCTCTAGTCAGGACCAAGATTTTCTAGGAAAATGATAATTATATATTGGTGTTAGTTGATATTAGACTCATTTTATTAACATTAAGACATACTTTGCAATGTGTCCCAAATTCTCATATGTGTGCACACACACATACACACTCACACACACACACACACGCACACACAGAAGCACATTGCCTTTTCTATCAAATATGAGCCAGTAGCAGTTATTGCTACAATGAAAAAAATGTCAGAAGATTACATATGCTTGCAATTTTCTCTTGCTTGAAAAAGTATCTATGGAATTATACATTGCAGTGTTTTCCCAATTGCAGCCCTAGAATCCTTCCATTTGGTCCAGAGATGATCCCATTTTGGAAAAAAAAAAATTGAATTATATTCAAACTGCAAGTGTTATTAGTCCCTTTCTTACTGTTTTTTGTATCTATATGGCTAATATAATTATACTAGCTTTACATGACAAACTTTCATACACTATCATATATCACATAATATATATTATCAGTGATTGAAAGTAACTAAGCACATATGAAGATAAGAAATAAAAAAACACAGACTAACAGAAATTTGGCTTGACTATTACCAAATGTATTTCCCCTGCCTGGAGCCATCGCTTTCCAAAATTGGTTAACAAAGTAAGTTGAAGCTTTAATCAACTATAATTAGATTAACTCTAAGTAAACCCTTAAATGCTTATTTAAAAAAAAAAAAACAATTATGGTAATTAGAATAGTTTGTAAGTCAATGGATGTCAAGTGAGAATTGAAAATGTAACCATTAATATTTATAGCTGGTGCTTAAGCACTTTAAAATATTGAAACTAAATTGTCGTACCTCCTGCAATATACTTAATAGTTTAAGTTCTGTTAGATTTTATATTTGAATGTAAATGCTGACACTATTAGCATTTGCATTTTTTGAGTATGTGGGTCATATCAAAAATATTACTCATATCTTGTACAACCATTCCATTTTCATGAGAATAATTGCCTATGTCTGCTCATCATCCAATATAGTAAATGTAATTGTGCATGAAGTTAAAATAATTTAGAACCTTCTCAGAAGCTGAGTAAAAAAGCAGCTATCATCACTTAAACACTTTTACTTTCCACACACATCATGCTATCAAACTCTGACTGCAGACAGCTTTAGTGGATTTTCATGGCAAAGAAAAGCACTTTACCATATACATATAGTGACTGCTTGCAGAAAATATGAACATTGCCTCCAATTGTCTAGTGTTTCCTTAATGTCTCTTTCCTGTTTGGGTCTGCAGCTGAACTTGAAGTATTGCTTTATAAGAAAAACTGATCTGTGAATCAAGATGACAATTGTGACTTGATATGTGGCAGTACACTTTCTTGGTAAAATTTGGTTTCCATACTTTATGCTGGTTTAAAATTATGCAATAACAACAATTGAACAATGAGAAATACAATGCAATTAAGTTTTATGAAACTAAATTGTTCAAAGAGCACATTATTTTGTGGTCTATGAGTCTGTCTTGGTATCTCTGTATAGATGAAATGTAAAATATTTAAATTTATTGATGTCCTAAACTGATGTTTGAACTTGAAATTGTTAAGCTATATCTCCCTAAAATATCGTCATCTTTTTTTACAAGTAGTTCCAGAGATTTTCTATGAGTAAATTATTTCCTTGTGTATTCATATTTATAATAAGATATAACACAAATTCCTCTCAAGTCACCATTTTATATCCTATTCATTCATACTGTATCTATGACCATGGGGTTACTTTTTATAAAATAAAAACTGAAGTTTTAATAAGCATAAAAATGTGGTTATCCAGAAAAAAATGCACAGTGGTAGCTAACATGTAGGTTCAAATATTCCCAACATACCTGACATCAACCCACCCAAATAGAACTACCTTAAGGAGACACAGATAAGTTGTACACAATGAATTTTGAGAGCTGCTACTGACTGTTTCTTGGAAAATGTGGAATTCAATTATCTAATTGGCAGATATTTATTTAAATGATTATTTGGAGAATCACAATTAATTTTATGATTGATTTTATCAATCAACTAATTCAGTCTCTTTTAAAAAAAAACCCTATCTCTGAAGCATTGCATCAGATATTTAATATTAAATTCTAAGAAAAAAAGCAAAACTAAAATAAAAGTTAAAAATTTGATACTATTGCAATTAATCCTAAAGTATTTTGCATAAACATTATTGTAGTAGGGACTTTCAGCTATCTCACACAATTTTTAAAAATACTATTGAACAAAGTTCAACACAATTTTGCAATACTTTACATACAAATATCAATCGAAGTATTCCAAAAATTCAAACTAGAACTTTTCTTTTTACCAGTGTATTACTGGAAAATATGAAAGAAAATTTTAAAAGGAGAATACACACACATATTAACAGAACAGAGAACATTATATACGATGTGAGGAGCCTTTTCTACAGTATTTCTAAACCTTTATTCAGTGATATGTGCAAAAATCACAGTTTTGAAACCATAATCCAAATGTACTAAGCTATTTTATCCTCTTTCAGACCAGGAAATTATTATGAAACTGTTTCTTCAGTGTCTTGCAGATTTAGCATCTATGTAAGTCCTGACAACAGTCTGGTTTTATTTAACAGGGCAAGTGTACTATTTTTTATATGGAAAACTTGCACATGTAATCCTAAAAGATATAAACAGTATCTTTTACACTTTCATAAAATTTTTTATGTATATGCATACTTATATAGCAAGAAGCATTTCTAACTGGTCATGAAACATCTAAAAATTATTCAAATCAAGGTACTATTTGCAGATAGTCAAATTCATTGAATTATTTATTTTTATGAAGCTGAAGGCCACTTTCACACACTGTGTTTCTAAAGATGAATGGCAAGTTCACCTAATCCTACATAGCTTCTCCTTATGTAATCACCATATTAATATTCTGGTTCCAGTCCTCCTTAAGAAAGAAGTACTTACAGAACACAATTTCCTACACAGTGTTCACTATCTAGATTTGTTAGGAGCCAGGAAATGAATTATCTTTTTAAAGAGCAGGATGTAAGGGAGGAAATCCACTCTTACTTGACTATGAGCACATCAAACAAGTATTAATCCAAAAAAATAAGTAGAAATATTATTTTGGTTAGAAAAAATGTCTAACACTGAGATACAATTTAAGCACAAGTGATGACTCGTAATTACTCTTTTCACTTTGGCACATCTAAACCACAAGAGAAATTATGCAACATTCGGTTTGTTCTTCAGGGAAACATTTGCATTAGAATTTAAAGATGGGTTTGAAATTTATGCTGAATTTTTTAAAAATTCAGTATTTAATACATTTATAGCAAAAGAGGCTGGGAGGCTAATTTTTAAACATTTTTTGGAACCCATAGAACTCATGACCTTGGAAAATAAATCTTGCATCAGAGAAAATTCCAATTGTCTCTGAAGTCTTTATAAAAACACAGATATTGTATTCAAATGATTGATGCATTCTAATGGCCCAGAAGAACAATCTCTATATGTCCTTGTAGCTGTGCTCTTCTTTAGATGTGAACTGGGACAAGGCTCAGTCGCCGTCCTTTTCTCTCTCCATTCCATGCTTCATCTCCTTCCTGTAGCTCGGGCTGGAGAAAACCCAGCAGGTTCAGAGGAAATGTACACTATGAGGCGGTAAGATGGACCTGAATTTAGTGGAGACTGGAGCTCCAAAACAAATGTAACACCATGTGTCAAACAAAAAAGAGAACATATTCTCCTGTACAAATCAGAAGAGATAATAAAAAGTAATGAATAGACAGCAACTTCTTTTTAAAATCATACCTACACAAGCATCTCAAAGCTATTACAAACTTGAAGAATCATTTACCTTTTTCTTATTTGGAACATTTCATTATTTATTGGTAAAAGCAATGACTTTTTGCGTTTGCTTCACATCAAATTTTACTGGCTGTTATTAAAGGGTTTTCAATTAGCAAAGCTATTCTGAGAATTTATATATTGCTAAATAAAATATTTTTCTAACCATAGCAATAAAATTCTGCTGAATTCTATCATATTAGTAAGCTAAAAGCATTGCCATAAATTGAATTTGTGCCAACCTTTAAAATGCAAGAAGTTTCAGAACTTTCTGATGGCACATTCCTCTAACTGAGAGTTCTATCCTCTTACTGACAGTACCATGAAGGTTTGTCCAGGACCTCATTAGCTCACTGATAACACAGTGCACTATTGACTCACGGAAATCAGGTGCCTTTGCAGGTATATTAGAGTTGCTATCTATTCACAAACTACTGAGCATTTCTTTTATATTAAAAAATCTTCAAATGCTCAGAGTCTGTGGTCAGTGCAGTCCCTTGGATAAATCTAATGAAGATACGCTTCACCAAGGCAGAAACCTAAACAGTTAAAAATGGAGACATATTTACAACCATTTTCCCCCAACTCATGGAGTTCTTGCTTTCTGTGTGTAGTTTTTGTTGTTGTTGTTGTTGTTTTATGTTACTTTTTTCTTCAGTACATTTTAAATTAAGGTTCTTGGGCTATGAGTACAAACTCTCTTGGCCAGTTCCATACATGTCTGCAAGTCTTTTAAAGCGAGGTCCCCAGTCACTTAGGTAGTCATAATTCTGGTCAGAGTTTGAGCTGATGGAATCTAAAGAGCTGAGTGATTCTGCTACTGAGCCATTTCCTTCAAAGGCATAGGTCTGCAAAGAGTCATATGGCGGGGCGCCCGGGTCAATGTCAGCTTCTTTCAGTCTTTCCCAAATAAATTCCCGAAAAATGACATTATCTGGGATGCTTTTAAAAGTCGGTCGACTCAGGAACTGAATCTCTGGAGTCACATCCCTCCGGGCCTTTGTATCCCTGATGACGTTGAGGTTTCTCAGTGCAGCCATGTCAAATGCTTCTGTATCTTCCTCTCCTCCACCTTCGTCATCGTATCTGACTATATTTTCTCTGATATCTCTTTCTTCATCAAAAATGAGGGGCTCTTTTTTCCGTCTTCTCATGGTGATGATAAGGAGGATCAGCACTGAAACAAAAGCAAAGGAAAATTTCAGTAAAGGCACCAACTGTCACTCCTCACGATGACCTGAGCTCTGTGACTTTGACTCACATATTTTCTTCCCTTCAGAGACGACTGAATTTACTGCCTACTTACGTGGTTTTCCACAGCAGTGGCTGTACTATAATTGCTAAAAGAGCTTTCAAATAAAGTACTTTCATACATCAAGAAACCCTTTCCCACACCTGCATAGGACTGATGTCTTGCTCTAGCCTGAAAAGCATTTAATAGAACAAATTGAAGGACCAGCTCAGGATAAATATAATAATTTCAAAGACATGCAACATGAAGGAATTTTTTTGAACTCCTTAATTGATGGAAAGGCAAAGCGACATTCATAACGTTTTGTGTCTAATTTAACAACTGTAATTTCAGAAGAAACTGGATTACAGGATTTGCTCAGGTTCTTTGAAGAAATGTCTAGGCCTTGTCTACGAAATTCAGCTGTTAAGTAAAATTCAGCATGGCAGGCTGTATACAAAGATGAAAAGCTTCCCTATAATAAATTGAGTTGCACTTTCATGTGTGAAATTCTGAACTTAATGTCTGTCCATTTTACCTAGAGACAGAACATAGTTGGTGAGCTTTTCACAAGTCACAGATTTGAGAAATAAACTACCGCTGTAACATTAGGAATTTTTACTTCTGTATGAAAACTAATGTTAAACCATTTGGTATGTTTGCACTGGAGGAAAATGGAGGACATTGGCTATTTTGTTTTTAGTTTAATGCAATGAATGCATTTTGTATTTTTTGAAAAGCATATATTAATAATAGCCATTTCTGGCTACAAGTGACTGAATTCTCCCTGAATTGAAAAAATTAGGTATCAAGGGTCCTTGATGTAAAGTAAAATTAAGTGTAAAAGAAGTTCAGGAATTTTAAAACTCAAAAACATAACAAATAATACATTATCTTTAGAAAATGTTTACAATTATTTGTGTAAAATCAAATCCTTTCAGCAATTTTTATTACAAGCGTGTTAGCTGTTGGAAAATTTAAAGGCCCAAAATACATATAAAATGGATTGCTGTCAGGATACATTATTCTCAGCATCTTTTTAAAAAGAAACTTTTGAGGGATCAAAGGTGTAGCACAGTTGTGAAAAGTTTATGTAGTATACATGATTCTGGTTTCTATGCCCAAAACTGCACAAATCAAAAAGCAGATAAATAATAATGACTTGGAATATTTACATTTATTTTATCTTACAAAGTTTGTACTTTCACATTAAGAAGACATTTGAAAATTATAATAAAAAGCAAAAATACACCAAAATTTTAGAAAATAATTAGGGGTGAGGAACCCATCTTGCAAGATAATTTCCTTTCAAAAATGAAAACACTGAATAGTAATAACTTGGTAATAACTCAGTTCACAAATGTTTGCTCACACAAAAATTTGCATCTTTTTTTTTGTCTTTTTATTTTTTTTATCGGTACCACGGATCAAACCCACAACTGTCTGCTTGCAAGGCAGGCGCTTATGCCACTGAGCTAAATCCCTAGCCCCCAAAATTTGGATCTTAAACAAAAAGTTTCAGCCAAATATTGCTTCTGTTCCCATCTCTGTTTTTGAGTGACAAGCAACTATAGCCATTGTCCCCACACAAATGTAAGCATATCCTTCTTCTCCCAATTTGTAAAAGTAATTAAATTTGTGAACCAAGGTACTATGGCATTAAACTTTAAATGAGATCAATTTATTAATTTCAGTGAGGATTATACACTTTAATAATTTGTCTGATGCAAGCTTCTTTTTCATCAAAAGACTATAATTGATGGAATATAACTTTGCTACTTTTTTGGGGATTTTTTTGGTACCAGGGATTGAACTCATCCTCTCGCTCCCGCAGGTAGGCACTCATGCTGCTGAGCTTTATCCCTGTCCTCTATAACTTTGGAAATATTTGTCCAAACTTTAGTCTTATATTTGGTGGCATTTTCCTTCTCTTTTGAACCGATGTACTTCAAAAGTCACTGCTTGCACACTTTTGTGTTCCCAGTCCTAGTCTGGTACTTACCTTACTTGTTATTAAATTTATTATAGCTTTGCATCTCCTGATAATTAGGATATCCACTATTCCAGAGCTTTGTGGTTTTCCAAGTCTATGCTAGAATGCAACAGAATGGTCTGAAAATTTGTTTCAAGAATGGCCAGAACAAATGTCCTGCCTTTCAAAACTCTACTGTAGCAAGTAACTTAAACTAAAGAGATTTAAAATAACATAAACAGATGTAGTAGAATCCTATGCACTTGGCTTGCAATGCAACAATTCTCATTGTAATTATCCAGCCTGCCAAGAATATTCATTTCAATTTCCAAGAAAACAGCATGTAAAAATACTTCATTTTTCTTTAAAGAAAGTAAAACCAAGAACGAAATTACATAATAACCACCAAATATATGACAATATGTGTATTAAAAGCTAAATAGGAGGCAGAAAAGGTTAGCATGAAATGAAGATCTGTATGTATTTAGCCTTTACCACAGTCCTCTGGAGTCAGTATTTTGAGGATTGTTTTAAACAAATAAAGCAATGTGTCCATAGTCAATGTAATTAAGTGCAGTAACTAAGGATAAGTGATCATCAACCTCAGCTTGCCTTCAACATCTTGGCACACTGCAGGCTACCATACACTTAGAACTTCCTTGGAAGGTAACTGAAGCCCGCTAGCTACAAAAGCAGTTGCTATCTAGTGCCTAGAGGGCACTAACTCCATGACAGAGAAGTTAGTAGTTAAAGACACGTGCATAAACAGAAGACTTATTTTAATTTGTATATCACTTGCTTTCTGAAACTCTTCACACAGTCTCCTCTAAATGAAAGACAGTTCAGCAGAAAGGAAATGAAGCCTATTAAGACTTCTTAGTGAGAAATCAGAATGAAGTGGAGGCAGGAGAAAAAAGCAATGCAGAGAATAATGATGGAGTAGTGAGGGGAGGGAATTATCAGCTAGAGATCGGACGTGCATGCTGAACAGCAAAAGGTAGCGGAGAAACGTGTGACTGAGGGGACGTGTATGCATGAAATGGATGAACACTCAAGCTGGGGAAGGTCTGATGTAAAAGCTGGGTAATGACTAAATGCTCTTAAAACTCAAATCAATGTGTAATTAGATAAATCATTAAAATCTTAAAATTAGCTAACTGTAACCCTAACTCTAACCCTAATTCTAACCTTAACAACAAAAATTTTCTTAAAATTTCTCTTTGATACTATAGCAGTAAATCATGCCATGCATAGGCATTATCAATTACTTATCAAGTATTTCCTATAGGGGATTGTATCTGTTTGCCATACTGCTGACAAATTTGCCTGTTGTCACTCTTCAGTGCAAGTGAAGCCTGAATTACCTTAAGAAAAACTCCTTAAAATATTAACAACATTCTATTTTGTACCAGGTACAATGCATATCAAGGATATGAGTGTCTTATATTTTCCTTATTTTTCAATCCTTTGAAAACAAGAAGACTGTGAAATGTTTTGGAAGGTTAGCTAATACGACATTTCAAATATGGAGAAAATTGTTAGCACATAAAAATAAATTTTAATTAGTAGCTAGATGAAGTATTAACTGGTCTTCAGGGACAGTGGAGATAATCTTTGTATTAAAAATATTTTCTGCCTAAGTAAGCAAAAGATTTCTATTCAAAGAGTTTGAGTCATTTATCTTTTCTGTATATGCACTACACTGAGTGAAGGCAGAATAAAAGAGTTAAGTCTAGTTAGTGGTCATGGTGAACTTACGTTGTCTATTCATGAATTTACCTATCTATTTAGCAAAGCTGGACTAATTACTTACAAATACCAAGTGTGGCATTAGATACAATACTGTACAGAGAATTTTATATATTACTTCACTGTGAAAGTTACAATCCACTGGGGCAGATAGAAATTAATCAAATGGTAAAAATAAACAAATTAGAACTCATGATTATTTCAAAGATATATATATATATATACATGGAAATGTCCTGATAAGGAAGACTTACTGAAGATTATTGAAAGCCAACAGCCAACACAAGTATAGAAAGGAGATTTGCAGAACATTTTTGGCAAGGGAACTACAAGGAGAAAAGTTTCAAGGCTCATGGTCAGGACAGTAAATGAATAAGGTCAGACAGGGAGGCAGATCCGATGGTCCCAGGATCAGCATTTTTTAAGGGATATACATTATGTTCAACTTTTTAAAAAATATATATATTCATTTGGACTAAAGATAGTAATTAGGGAAAAACAGATGTGAGCAAACAAGCCTGAAAATTGTTATAAGTAAAAACATAATGCTGACCTAAATGTCTACTTTTGAAATTCAGTTTTATAATATGCAATCTTTTCTAAGTATCTAAAACATTTTAAAATAATGCCAGATACAAGAAAAATCACAAGATGTTGTAAGCAAGTCAAACGGTGCAGGCGATGTACACTCTGATAAATGTAGCATAAATTTCAATGTATTTCACTGTAGAAACACACACACACACACACACACACACACACACACACACACACATATATATATATATATATATATATAGAGAGAGAGAGAGAGAGAGAGAGAGAGAGAAGCAATGTACACCACACAGTATTCTCCCCCCCCCCAGTCAGATTAAAACACACAAATAAAAAATATGGAAAAATGGAGAAATTTAAAAATACATCATGCTAGCAATTAATGTTAAATTACAAACAACTTACTTAACGCTGTCATGTTCAACTTACTGGGCACAAGTTAAGTTTTACAAATTTTCTATTATTCTTTAATTGCATTTGAATTTTATAATTTCAAATCAGAAATGACTATGATGGAGAAATCTTACACAGCTCTCTTCAGGATCAGTTTCACACTTTATCCACTATTTCCCATTCATCAAAAAATAGAATTCATCAACTCGAAACAGTTTTCTGCCATTTTCCAACCAATAACTTTATCAGCATTTCCTTTTTGAGAAGTTAGCCTACA